ACACACACACACAAAAGACAAATTACCAGCTTCAGGATTGAAATAGAAGATATTACTACAGATCTTCCAGACTTTAAAAGATTAAGAGAATGCTATGAATAACTTTACACTCCTAAACTTGACAACTTAGAAGAAATGGACCAATTCCTTGTAAACCACAAACTACAAAATGCAACCAAGATAAAATAGATAACATGAATAGTCCTATAGCCATTAAAGAAATTGAATTCATAATTTTAAGGCCCATGAAAAAGAAATCTCCAGGCCCAGATGGATTTAAAGGAGCATTCAAAGAAGAATTAACACTAATTTTACAGTTTCTTCCGGGAAACAGAAAAGGAGGGAACACTTCTCAACTGATTTTTATAAGGCCAATATTACCTTGATACCCAAACAAGACAGTTAAAAAAAAGAAACAAAAGAACCTACATACCATTATATCTCATGAACTTAGATGAAAAAAAATCCTCAACCAAATATTAGCAAATCTAACAATAAATAGAAAAAACAATGTAAAAAAATGCCTAGATGGGCTTTATTTTAGACTAGAGGCCTGGTGCACGAAAATTCGTGCACTGGGGAGAGGGGGTCCCTCAGCCCGGCCTGCCCCCTCACAGTCTGGGAGCCCTCAGAGGATGGATGTCCTACTGACAGCTTAGGCCCACGGGAGGTGACCGGCTGATCAGGGGAAGGTGACACCGCTGCTGCTGCTGCTGCCACTGCCGGCCACCATGGCTGCCTGAGCCTCGGGCAGCCACTGCAGCTTTGTCTGGAAAGACGTCCAGAAGACGTCCACCCTAGTGAGCATATTACCCTTTTATTAGTATAGATATGCAAAGCTGGTTCAATATTGAAAATCAATGTAACCCATCATATTAATAGGCTAAAGGAAAGGTAGAAGGAATATCATATTATCATATAGATGTTGTTTTTTAAGTAATTCACTTATTTTTATTTCCTTTTTTTAATCCTCACCCAAGGATATGTTTTCTTATTAATTTTAGAGAGAAACATTAATTGGTTACCTCCTGTAACCTGCAACCTTCCAATTTACAGAACGACACTCCAAGCAACTGAGTCACTCAGTCAGGGCGATAATGTGTTTTTTGACAGCTAAAAAAAAATTTGACAAAATCCAGTGTTCATTCATTAATAAAACTTTCAAATTTGATCCCGGCCAGTGTGGGTCAGTGGTTGAGTGTTGACCCAGGAACCAGAGGTTACTGATTTGATTCCCGGTCAAGGGCACATGCCCAGGTTGCTGGTTTGATCCCCAGTAGGGGGCTTACAGGAGGCAGTCAACCAATGAGTCTCTCATCATTTATGTTCCTCTCTCTCTCTCTCTCTCTCTCTCTCTCTCTCTCCCTCTCTCCCTCTCTCCCTCTCTCCCTCTCTCCCTCCAGGGAGTGATTGATGTTTCTATCTCTGTGCCAGGGAGTGGTTGAAAGTATGAAAGGCAAGTGCATCCTGGGACAATCTGTGTCATAGTGGGTGCACATGGTTGCAATAAGCCATACTTACCCATATTTTAATTTTGTTGTATATATTCAGCATTTCTATCCTGCCTTATCCAAAAAGTACATAAAATAGTTTTATTTAAATACTGTTATATTAAAGTTCATTTATCTATTTATTCATCAAATATTTTTTTAATAATGAAAAGTAAAAAATTTAGTCGTATTCAGATGCAACAGATAATTCAAATTATGTAACAATTTGAATACTCCTTAGATTCACTCCCAATAAAGGAATCTATATCCTGGTTTCTCATCAAATATTTTTTGTTGGCTTTCTTAGTGCTGATCATACTGGGATAAAAAAGATGGGAAAAGAAGTGTGATGGACAGAGTTGATCATAGGATGGATCTGGTATTTGTTTTTAAAGCTTTGTTTTTGCTGTGACATGTATTCTATATTTTCAGTTGCAAAGACAAAGGTTTTAGTGTTCAATTAGCTGGTAAACTTGGTTTTCAATAATTAAGACCCTTTTTTTTTATTTGGAATACATCTTGTCAATATTGATTCTTTGTCGCTTTTTTCTTAATAATACATAAAATAATAGTTCATCTTACAAATAATGGCATTTTAGGTGCAATGAGATCTGATAATAATATCTAAAGCCAACTATTTTTGCAGGGTTTTTTTCTTGATTAATTTTAGAGAGAGAGGAGGGGAGGGGAGAGAGAGAGGAACATCAATTTGTTGTTCCATTTATTTTTGCATTTATTGGTTGCTTCTTGTATGTGCCCTGACCAGGGATCAAACCTGAATCCTTGGCATATTGGGACAATACTCAAACCAACTGAGCTACTCAGCAGGTTTTGCACTTTTCATCTGAATATTTTACCTGTTCTAGTTTTATTAAACATTTAGAGGAACCTTTAACAATTTGAGAGTCTGATGATAAATGCTGTGGCATTCCATGGTAATACTGTGTTACTTACATATATGTTGAAACCTCATTTCCTCTTATTTTTTTTCTTTGTTTTTCAAGTGTCAATATACAGTATCTGGTTTTATGACAAGAATGACTGTCACCGCATAGCCAAACTCATGTCTGAGTAAGTATATTACTCTACAGATTTATTTATTAATGACATATGAGAGATGAAAAATTACTTTTCTCCCTACTTCTCTTTGTTACTAGAGTATACTAATCTCCCTCTATTTTCCTCTAATTATGTATTTTCCTCTAATTTCCTGTTTATTCTCAAAAATTTGGAAAAGGCAGAAAAGTCTAAAGAAATCTATAATCCTATATAATAAAAGCCCGTTATGCAAATTGACTGAACGGCGGAATGACCTGTGAAATGACCAGTTGCTATGATGTGCACTGACCACCAGAGGGCAGA